AGCAGCGCAGGGTGCTGTAGATGCAGGAATCCTGGGTATGCAGGAACAGTGTCCCTACCACAAGGGCCCTCTGTGGCTGAGAGAGGGAGAGCTGGGGCACCCTGTCACCACAGACTGTGTCCCCAGGTGGTCCTGGGCATTGCTGATTGGGTCGGGGGATGCAGCACCCACTGCTGCCTCCCTGGGCACACTCTCAGGTGGCGGATGTGCGATGGGAAGCAGAGCCACCCCAGGGATGCAGGATGGGGAGTTGTTACCCCAGGGATGCAGGATGGGGAGCAGAGCTGCCCCAGGGATGTTGGATTGGAAGCAGAGCTGCCCTGGTGATGTGGGATGAGGAGCAGAGCTGCCCCAGGCCTGGCAGCAGCCAGGAGACCCCCTGGCTATGGGAAGACTCCACATCTTTCCCACCAAGGCACCTAATCCCTAAAACAAAAGAGTGCCTGGAGCTGGGCAGCACTGTGCCAAATTACTGGGGCTGGGAAGTGGAGGGGATGCATCTGCGCCTGGGAAGCTGTGGATTCCGAGGGCTAAGGTTTCCTCTCTGTAAGCAGAGCCAAGGCAGCTCTGCCTGCTGACTGTGGGGGCCAGGAGGTCCTTCAGCAGTGGTTGCAGGGGGCACGAGGTACTGCCACTGGGTCCAGTAGTGGGAGCTGGGTATCCGTATGGGATAGCTGGTGCTGGCTGTGAGCCACCCCCGAACTGGTGCTGAATGGGGATGAGCCTCCATCACTGGCTCCACATCTGGTGGAAGCAGCGGCAACAACGACCCCACCATTGCTGGAGCCTTTGCTGGGGGTGTTGGGCACCCACTACCCCAAATCCAATCTGTCCCCTTCCCCAGTTTCCGGTGCTGCTTTGGTAGGGGATGGGGGCTCCAGTGTGGCTGTTCCCACCTTGCTGCCCTCCGAGCCCGGCCCTCACCCTTTCTCTCCAGATGTGCTCAACGGTGCAGCGTTTGCAGTGGGGAAACATCTGGCAGGACTGGGGCAGCTGGGACGGGGCGCCGGAGCGGTGCTGATGGCACAGATGCCCTGGCTCTGAACACAGGCAGCTCTGTCTGCTCCCAGTGACCTGCAGCCATGACGAATGCGGGTAATCTCCTGGCTTCGCTGCTCTGTGCGGACCCACGGCAAAGCACTGGCAGCTGCTCTCCTCCTGCCCTCTGCTTTGGAGCTCTTAAAAACCTTGTGTTTTGCTTTTCCATTAACATCTCAGGGTTTTTTTCAAGCGGCGAAGGGACGAGACACCCCTTAGGGATGAGATGAATTTATTAAATATTTGGCAGATAACAGAACATGGCTTCCAGTTCACAGGTTTCTGTTAGAGACATTCCCCACGTTTAAAGCATCAGCTCCAGCATGGGTTTGTCAGGCGCTCCCAGGGATGCTCCCGCTCTCCCCTGTGCCCGCAGCCAGACTCATGAGGTGCCAGGAATAGGGAATGGCACCAAAGCTTGGTGTGCTCCCTGATCCCAACTGCTGGGCTCTGCTGGGGACACTCCCTTTGCACGGGCACAGGGGGGGCTTGGGAAGCCTCTGAGTGATGGCATGAATGGCCAAAGCCCCTACCTTCCCCTCGCACATCACTGGCACACCATCCAGGCGTGGGATACATCGCATGGTGCCCTATTCCCTACCCCATGAAAACTAGAGGTTTCCCTCCCCTGGCCTTAACCCTTGGCACCGGCCAGAGATGCCGGTGCAGGGACATAGCTCTGTCCAGGTTATTTTCCCATGAGGAAACGTTTTTAGGTGGCATTTTGCTTTCTGGGCCAGGTGGGTTTTTCCCATGGGAAACTGTGAAGTTCCATTTCAATCTGAATTGGACGGGTGCTGCTGTCCACCTCTGCCCAGTGTGAGAAGGTGTTGTGAGCTCTACACCTCTGCCCCAGCCCGTGTTCAGCCCAAGTGGGAATTAAAAAGGGGCTTAATTACAGGTGCCATGCCTACACCACAGCATGTCTTCCTGTCACCACTGAGGCACTGGGTCCATGCTAGGGATCAGCCATCCTTTGGGAGCTGAGCAGGAACGCTCGGATCCAGTGGATCTCCTGAGAGCAGCACTGGCAGTGCACACAAGCACACTTGCACACCCCAGCAGCTTCTCCAGCTCTCCAGAACAGATTTCCATGGAGCTTCCAGGATGCTGAGCAAGGGCTGGGGCGAGTGGCTGGGAAGCAGCTGGTACCCAGCACAGTGCCATGGCCTCTGGAACCCACACGTGCCAGGGCTGGGGTGCAGTAACATTGAAGGGGGCACAGCCTGGGGACATGTATTAAAGCCAGGCCTGAACTGTTCCTCCTGGGAGGTTTAAGGCGATTATTCCAAAGGCAAACAATAGTTCCTAAGCAGGTTTCAAAGTTAATGGTAAGCAAGCTGGGGTGCTAGGTGTTTTTTCCCCTACACAATGTCCCAGTATGTCACCAATGGAGGTGGCCTGGTGCTACAGGGGTGCAAAATGATCCCGGGCATCCTGCCTTATTGCAGGAACACCCTTGCTGGCCACAGTACAGCATCCATGCTTGTCTTTGTACTTTCTGGGCTTGGCTGGACCAGTCTGTGCCCCAGGCTGTGCTTTGAGCCCACACTGCCTACCCCAGTGCCACACCAGTGCCAGGAGCAATGGCGTGCATCAGCTGGACTTCTCTGACAGGGTCTGCAGACCGGCAGTGACTTCCCTAAATGACATACTTGGGTATCATGTCACGACAGCCTGCCCAGGGCATGGCCAAGCCAGCTACCATGCTCTGCTTGGTATCACCATGCACCGCAGGGCAAGGCAGGAGCAACTGCGGCATCATCCCCATCACCTCCAACTGGCTGCGGAGGGAAGCCATCAGAAGCAGGCTGAAGAGGTCAAGTGTAATTAAGCTCATGCCTTGGTGATGTGATGCGTGGACCCAGCTAGTCTCACTGCTGGGCTACTGCTGCTGGCTGGAGGGTGCACGACGACTGCAGGACCACAGCCTTTCCAGGACTGGTTAGACTGGGGGGACACAGGTTCCTCCCGCTCCAGTGGTGGCTGGGTGAAGGCTGTCCTCTCACAGCAGCCAGGGCTGCAGCCACCAGCACCAACCTGCAGCCCCAGCCAACCAGTAATATAAAGCATCTGCTAAAACACTTTGCTGGCTAAAACAAATGGTACCGTGGGTGAGGTAATGCAGAGCCATGGCACGAAGGGACACATTTAATATAGACAGACAACTTCCTGGCTGCATCTGTACAAAACTCCATCCATTCTGCCAGGTTTTCTCAACAAGCCCCAGCTCCACTGGCTATCACTGTTATGTGACTGGGGGGAAGGAGAGGCACAAGCACCCTCCTTGCCGTACCTGAGCTTGCATCAGCCCATGAAGCGATGGCTGCCTCCCACCCATGTCCCCCCATGAGCCCTGTAGGGTGGCAGGGCTGGCTGCAAGACCCCTGGTGTGGGGGGGTCTCCCCCCTCTGAGTGCCCAGCCTTGCATCTCCTCCACCTGCAGCTGGACCACAGGTTCAGAGAGATGCTTGTGTCTGAGGCTGTGGCTGTGGCAGGAGGCTCTGCCTCTGGGCAGTCGGGGTAGCAAAAGCAAGAAGGGAAAGTCACAGACTGTGACATAACAGAATAAAAGCAGCAAACACGATGCTCCCATGATCCAGGCTTCCCTGATGGTGGAAAGAGATGTGTATTCCTCCCTGCCTTTCCTTTCTGTGCCGCAGTTTGGGCCCTGGTACTTCTAAGGAGGTGGTGACTTCACCCCACCATCCCACATGGCTCTCCCATCACCAGTCCAGGCTGTCCCATGGTGCAGCCCCCCACCACTGGCACTGCTGCCTGTGTAGATGACCCATTCCTGGAAGACATCTGTGGTTCTGATACTGGACCCAGTGGGACTTGGCTGCGAGCCCCTGGGTTCTTGCTCACGTAAGGTGCCAGGAGATACTGCTGGCCCCTCGCACTTCTGGTCAGTAGGGAGAAGGCCCCTATGTCTGTACAGCCACAACCCCTCACCACCCCAGCAGCATCCTGAGTGCAGCCATTAGCAAAACATTCCTATTTTCCATGCTCCAACCAAAGCTGCTGCAGGTCCTCATTTAACAAATTCATCTGAAAACACACATGAAACCTTCCCTGTCCCCGCGAGCATGCTCTCCTTGGCAGGCTAAACCTAACACGCTGCACCAGGTTATCATCACTTTCCTCTCCTTCTTGACAGCTCATTCACAATATTTATATTCAACCAAACCTGTGGCCACCACAAATGTTTATTTCCTTTCTCCCCAAGGGCTGTAGGTACCCAACAAGCACTTTCCACTGAGAGCCAAGGCTACGAATCGGTTCAGATGGGAAGAAAAGCTGAGGGCTGGTTTCAGGGTTTATCACTCCTTTCCATTCATCACCCCTGATAAATATTTATGGATGCATTAGGGCACTCAGCTCCTTCCACTAAAAATAACGTTCCTAAGCACCAAAAATAAAAAAAGGGGAAAAAATCACCAGTGATTGGAACCGATCATGATGTTTTCTAAGCAGCTATGGAAGAAAAGCTCAGCGAGCATCAGCAAGCAGTGAGCTTCCAGCCTCACACTTCACAACAAAGCTGAACTGGACTCCTGAAAACAAACGTGGCGATGCTAATCTAAGCCTAGCAATGGCTGTCCCTGAATTCCCTGCCTGTAAAGGGAAATTTCTGTAACAGTCTGAAGAGCAGCAGAGCCAGGGATGCTGGGAGGCAGATGGTGCCTCCCTTCGCCTGTGGTGTGCCCTGCCATTTCCTCCCGGGATGACATGCGGCATCGCCCGTGATGGCAACCAGACATCCACAGACAGTGTGATAGGTGGTTTTTGGAAGGCAGACCCCCCTCCACATCACACGCAAGGCACCCCACAAGGCTCTACACCCATCATTTCATGCACACCCAGGGGTAGAATTCAAGAGGAAATAACCATCGTGTGATGCGATGATGACACCATTCGGGAGGAAATCAAAGAAGCTCAGTACACTTAGGAGCAGGGAGTATTGGCTTTCCTTTTGTCTTGTTCTTTTTCTTTAAACCTCCCATAAATTGCTGAGTTTGATTATCGTTAATAAACACATGGAGGAAAACAGTACATGCAATGACCTAAGAGGCAAGTGCCCACGGGGAAAGCCCTCTGGGTGGTTTGGAGAAAGCCGCTTTTGTCAGCAGGTGGTTGAGATCGGTCACAGTTGCACGATGGTAAATGTATCAGCTGAAACGTGCCACTTCCAAAGGATGGGGAGACGTCTCTCGACTGTAAGCGTGACCCTCCATGCCTGCATCACCAGAAACACACAACGTTCTATCAGCATCCGCAGAGCACAGAGTGCCGGCCTGTTTTGGAGATCAGATCCTGAACCTTCTGTTTGGCGATGCGCATCTTTGGGGCCACCCTGGGCAAGCTTGGAGCAGACCAAACCACCAAAGCTTGGTGGTCAGCAGGACACTGTGACCACCAAGTGTCCTGCTGACCCCAGGGCTCCTCACCTTGGACCCAAGACAAGCCAGGAAACAGAGGAATCATGAGCCTCTGAGCCAATGATACCAGGACCACGGTGCTGTGGCTGGTACCAGGTCCTGCCAGAAAAGGCCCATTAGCCAACACAGCTGACTTGCAAGCCAAGGTAAGGTTGGTGCTGAGCATTTTTCCCCAAGGACAGCCAAGATCTGTTAATAGAAAGCCCCTGATGATGGTGCCCACCCCAGCCCCCTCCATCATCAGTGGGCAGCCAGAGCCTAAGGGTGCCCGGAGCCACCAGTGTGGCTTGGCCAGACACCACCACCATCACCAGGAAGGCTCAGGAGGACACACTACAGTTCTGGGCACCAAGAATGGGAACACGAGGAACGTGAAGAACCACAAAAGTTTAAATAATTTCTTTTGTTTCACAGAATTTGTAATTCTTTCTGGAGAATAAAGAAACCTGAAAGTAGCTTCTCGCTCTTATTTGTTTGGTTGTCTTTAATTTAGCATTTATCAGTGCCAGTCTTAGTGGTGTTGGAGGCACTGCTGGGATTCTCAGGGAGCAGGGAGCTTCCATCTCCAGATCAGTGGCTAAGGGGTGAGCAGGGTCAAAGCCATCCTTTTTTCCAAAGCCATTAGAATTAAAGGGACATTATGAAAGAGCCACACATGGTACAAACAGCTCTCCACTGCTGGCTTCCTCTCTAATGGTGTAATTTCACTCCCTCTTGAGTTACCAGATTGTTTCTCAGATGAGGCAGGACTTGAATTTCTAATGTAAAAACTATCAGAAAAACTCTCAAGTCACTTTCAGGTTATCTCTATCCACCACTGAAATGGCAGGGAGGCAGAAAGGGCAAATTCCCTTCTTCCTCCTTTACAAGTTACCTTTAGAGGACAACTGTCGTGGTTTTATCATGCAAAATTGTGCTTTAGATCCATCCTGACGAGTTCATCTGTCCACTACCACCATGGGCTTTGGTTAAAGCCCAAACACTGTTTTCCTGCATGGTTCCTACAACTAACAAACTTGCAGTGGGAAGGAAAAGGTGCTAGAAGGAAGGTTACCTATGACACCAGACCCCATCTCTTTCCTGCTAATGATGTGTGTGTCCTCAGTACGCTTATCTGCCCCGAGAACCCTCCTTCTTCCCACTGGGAATGGTGAAAGATGGGTATTGTGGCTATGGCAAATACCCAACGAGTGTGGAAACCTGATCGGGTGCCATCCTACAAGCTTTTCAGATGGGGAAGATAAGGATCTTATTCAAGTCCTTCAGAGGTATTGTCACCACAGGGCTCAGGCTTTCTCCTGTACTGCTATCTCGTGCTCTCCAAGCACCTGTTTGTCTGTCCATCTGTTGTGCCTTATTATAACTTAAAGCACAGGCTCTTTGAGGGTAGAGATTATATTTTTAGTACATCTGGATAGTGTCCATCACAATAGGGTCCTGTTTCCTCACTGGGGCCTCTCAGTATAGAAGCAATACTAATAAAACAGGAGATAATGCTGTTCTCACTGAAGTTAATGATGTTTTCCCACTGTCTGCAGGATTGGATCTTAACAAGGATAAAACTCAACATCCTTTTGAATGGCTGTGGAATGATGGGCAGGCAGGGAACCTTCCTGCTGCAGAAATGAGAGAGATAAAGGACAAGGGCAGGAGGTGACCAGGGACCTACACACTGGGATTGTGTGTACAGAGCAGTGCTGCTGGAAATGGGAAGGAAAAAATCCATCCATCCTTACCTGAATTACTGTACACCCTGTGGTCATCCACCTAACCTGCAACACAGGGGAAAAGCATGTTCAGAAAGCAGGTAATCTTATTTCCTATAAAATGAAAAGTCTACACTCCCCATCTGTTGCTGCTCACTCTTCTCAGGACTGCAAACAGCTTCACACGCATTGGGATAAACGGCAAGCCCTCTGAAATATGAGGCAGGTAAGAAAGGGCTCCTGCTCTCACTAAATCCCAGAAATCCCAGCACCTCCGGGGTGAGCCTGAACCGCTGGGCATCGTCTGGGCCAACCTCTCCCAAAGCAGAGTCAGCCACTGTGGGTGCTCAGGACCTTGTCCCATCAGGTTTTGAGTATCTCTGAGGGTGAAGACCCTACAGCTTCTCTGGTCAACCTGTGCTGGAGTTCGACCAGCCACATGGTAAGGAAGTATCTTTTGTATTCAAGCTGAATTTCCTGTATTTCCATGTGTGCCCAATGCCTCTCGTCTTCTCACTGGGCACCACTGGGAAGACTGGTTTCATTTTCTTTACTCTTTCTCATCAGTTATTTACACACACCGATTTGATCCTAGCTTTCTTAGCCTCTCCTTGTGTGACAGATGCTTCAATGCCTTAATCACTGTCACAGCCTTTCACTGGATTCTCTCCAGTCCATGTCCTGCTTCTACTGGGAATCCACCACTGGACTCAGCACCACACAGGTGGCCTCACCAGTGCTGAGCAGATGGGAAAGATCTCCATCAATTGGCAATCCTTTGCCAGGCAAGGAAACCATTCGCCTTTGTCACATAAGGGCACACTGCTGCCTCAGGGCCAACTTGGAGTCCACCAGGGCCCCAGGTTCTTCCCCATGGAGCTGCGTGCTTTCTTTAGCAGTGTGGCACAGCGGATCTTCAGGCTCTTTTCTAGCAGTTTGGGGGTTATAAAATCCAAACAGCCAGTACATGAAAGGACCAGCTCATGGAGTGTCTCATTTCAGGTGATACTGTCTTGGGTTCACGTACTGATCACCAACAGCAACAGGCTGTCTTGGAGACAGGCAGCAGGACCATGGCACACAGTGACTGTAGGACATCCAACCTAGAATAATGTCTGGCACATGTACAATGCATGGATACATAATGCCTGGTTTCAAGAAGCGGTAACACAAACTGAGCACTGAGGCTGGCAGAACCGCTGTGGGGTGACATCTAACGTGACTGCATAGACAAGGCTTTGCCAGCTCCCCACTGTGCTCTTCTGTGCCTGGAAACCTTGTAGACTTCTCTGGAGATGCTGCTTAATTTGTAATCCTAACCACAAAAGACTCAGCCAACTTGGGAGTCTTCCCGAATGATTTCATCTTGCTAAAGCCAGACCACGCCACTGCTATATCAAGTGTATGAACGTAAGCCTCTCCAGCAGGGAAGCGAGTTCTGAGGTGGATTAATTGGGACACAGAGAAATATGAAATACTTTGTGAAGAAACTTGTGAAGAAGCCCAGGGGCACTGCTGTTCCTAGGAAACACATGTCAGCAGAGTCTCTGTGAGGACCAGCACCTCCCTTGTCTACACCAGTGCAGAACTGGTGGATTACACGAGCTGCAAGTGATTTTTCTTCTTGCTCATTCAGGATGGGAAGAAATAATGGGCTAATGCACCACCTAGGGAAAGTTTTGCTGAGATGGGGATGCACGCAGAGTCGCTGTGCAAAGAATGAAGTTGGAGTGGGCAGAGGTTGCTGCTGGCCAGCCCCATCCAACCCCATGCGCCTGGAGCACCCTGGCCATAAGTCCCTGTAGGTAACATGGGGCAGAGAATGGGTGCTTTCAGAACGTCATCTCCAACATAGCCCGCACAAATCCCTGATGCCCCATTGACACGCATGCATCAGTGGCTGGAGGAGTTCCTATAGTGTGTGCACTCTGCAGGACAGCAGTTTATGTATCGACCATTCCTTGATTCTTCTGCCAGATTTTTATCGCACTAACTTTGTGACATTAAGAAATCACTTACTCTCTGGCATTGATAGTATTTACATTCCACACAAAGGCTTTTGGACCAAGCCCTGCTTTTGGTTACATGTCTCAGTAGTGTCCCCCTGCCGACTTCAGTGCTGCTGCAATGAGTAACAGAGCTGAATTTGTCTTACTAGGTCTCTGCTACTATACATCATATTGCAGCTCTTCAAATTCCCCTTTTCCATGCAAGATACAGTGCACATTTTGAAAAAAGCAGAAGGGTCATCTGCTAAGCATCTAAAATATTTAAGCAAAGAGGAATGTTCTAGGGCAAAAAGGGTCCTGTGATTTAGAGCCAAGGCTCTAAAAAATCTTCTTTTAGCTAAAATCAAACTTACTTACTGCACTTTTTCCTACAACCTTCTAAAGTCTAATAGAGATGCCCTTCAAACAAACTTATCACATCTAATACTGATGGACAAACCATCAGCAAGCAGAGCATTTCCAAACACCTGATTGCTTTGCAGAACACGCTGGACACGAAAACTTACAAAAATGAGCTCTCCTGGCGAGAAATGTGAGCCTCACCACTTCAACTTAGCCAGAAGGAAAATGTGCGTACAACAGGAAAAAGGATAAAGCTCCAGTTTGTTGATGCTGAAATTAGGTTTTGGCTCCAGTGAGACAAATACTTGGGCTGATCCAAACCTGCCTGAGTCTGTTCCTTGTGCTTTGGTTTAAAACATAACAAAGCAAAAGATGAGACCCCTGAGCAAGATCTGCTCCCGAGGAAAGGCCTGGGAGGAGCTTTGGTGTTGGCTTGTGGAGTGCGACACGAGGAGCAGATCTGCTGCAGACCCCTCCAACTCAACCGTACACTGCACGGTTGTTTGCAAGTCTCGCTCCACGCCTGTGATGATCGCTTCCAGCCCTGGGAATAACTCTGCTAGCACGTGTCATGGGTTCATTCACACCAAAGGAAGATGGTCTGGGGAGGATTAGTATGTAGACCTGCAATCCTGGGATAGTAGAGATGAAAGAGACCTCCTGTGAAACAGCGCTCCTCCGACAGCACTGCCTACACAGGATTAGTAATTCTGAACATTTGTCCAGCCAAGGTCACAGGAGGCAATGGCTCAGCAGATGATGGCCCCACCGCTCAGGACCTTCACTGGTCACCATCCCATGCCTTGTTATTTTCTAATACATTCATATGAACTGGATTTCTCACAGCACTCGGAGCATTCAACTCCTCCTCCTCTGACACATTTTTGTGCATGACCTTTGCTGAAAGAAAAACATACTTGAAAGCTGAATACACATGCTGAAGGAAGCCTGGCTATGATGTCACCTCAAGTCATGGCAGATGTTGGAGAGAACAGCACGGTGATGACCAGACCAGACAAACAGACCCGTGCTGTGTCTACGGGGGGTGTAGCAGCAACACAGGATGCTTCCACCTGGAGCCACCCACGTGCAGAGCCCTCTCCTGAGACTCCAAATGGAGATGGCAAACTGGGCTCCTGCAGAAGAGCAAGTCAGAAAGTGTTTTACAGTTTAGAGACTGTAGTTTGTCCCCTTACCTCGGTCCTTTCCATTCTGCATTTTTTCTCTTTCTTCTTCATCTTCTTCCTCTGCTTCAAAAAAGTGAAAATAAATAAAAGCAGACATGAGACAAGGAAGTGAGAGAATAGATGCTGGGGGGGCTTTTCTGTGGCAAGGCAGAACTGGCTTTTCAGGGATAGGTGCCATTGGAGGGGAAGGAGTGTCCAGGCTCCTAAGGAGAACCTAGGTGGAGAAGCCATCATCATCCTTCCTGTGGCATGATGTCTGCTCACTGCTGGTGGCAAAACAGTCCCCACACCATCCTGATCAGAGGATTGCAGAGTGCTAGCTAGAAGCAGTGCCTACATTGCCCAGAAGAATGGACTACTAGTGGACTACTACTTTGCCCTGCCAGTATGGGGACCAAAGTCCCTTGTGCACTATTACTTCAGCATTGTAAGAAATTAAGAACTGCACAATATACACAGAGGGAAGGAAGACACAACTTTCATGCTGAGGTCAAATCTAAGATAGAAATATAATGGTTTGGTGTGGTGAAAAGCTTGGAGGGTCCCTCCTGGTGCTGCAGGATTTGCCTATACAAGGTGTTTAGTGATGCTGATCCCCCAATGCTGACATGGGGACAGGCTGTGCCTACAGAAACCAGTGCCTGTTCTGTACCTGAGTGCTGGTGATTCATTGTATTTAACTCTGATTAAGTTGAAGAGAGTTTATGACCAGGCTTGTATTTATGGAGCAGAGAGTGGGAGCAGAAGGTCACATTCTTCTACAGATGGTGGCTCATCTCTCTCTGTACAACACTTCAATGAGACCTGTGTAAACAGGTCATAGTTATGAGCAGTGATATTGCTTCTGCCTACTTCACATGCTGCTGAGAGCAATGAAAGGTACAGTTTGAAAACCTGAAGCATTCTGAATTGATTTGATCAAAGAGGATCTTACAGACATTTGCTCTCTTTGTTGCTTTAACAGCGGGATCGATGAGACATCCAGGAGTCACACTCAGTGCCTGCTAATTGATGGCTATGGATGAGTCCTTAGTGCCAGTGCAGAAGAGATCACTGACGAAACCAAACCATTTTTAATCACAAGAGTCAGGACCTGAAGCAAAATAGGTGCTTTGGGTCCTGAACCTGCCTTCTGTTGGGCAGCCTGACAGGGGAGGGCTGAGCCATCCAGCAGCATCATGCCTGGTCCCTGGAGATCACCCCTGCATGTCTTTACGCTCAGTTGGTATAAAAGTGATGCCTAGGTAGCACCAGGCTTTTGGTGCAGGAGGAGCACAACCAGAGCACCTATGGAAGCCCATCTAGGAAGGGGTAACCCCAAGCAGTGTTTCCCTTCCAAAAGAATCTGTTTTCCGAGCTTGTGCAAAGGCAGGGAGAAGCAAACAGAGGTGTGGGTGGTGCACACACCAGTGTCTCACAGAACCCTCAGAGCACAATGCCTGCAGCTATATCGGGTGAGCCTGGGGCTGGAGGAGGTGTCTATTTTCACAGCTTACCTCCGGGACAATATGTGTTAAATCCCACCGACTCTCATCAGCTGAGGATAACTCATGCTTTTCCTAATTTACACAAATGAAATGATTTCAGAGACTTTCAAGGGAGCCTTCTTCAGTATCTGCATATCCTCAAGTAGGAGACTGTAATTAATTCCATTTTCACTCCCTTGTGAACCGTAACTGCCTTGCATGATCCCTTACAAGCCTGAAAGGGCTGTCAGTAGTGCAAACCCAGGCTGTTTGCCTTTGCCAAGTTGCCAGGGATCTCAGAGGAGGGCAGGAGAGCTGTGGGTCCAGCAAACCTTTCACCTCTGTTACCAGCCACCCAGGGTCAGAGCCTGAGCTCAGCCACACCACTGCAAATGTGCTCCTCTGTTAAAAGCAAGGAATAAATTACTGCAGACATCTGTTTTGGGCAGAGGGTTTGCTCACTGGGTTCCAGCCTAGAGGGAAGAGAGCTGTGTGCATCTTGAGCATGGTGATTTATTGAAGAAATACATGGCCCTTCACTGCAATGGCACCAGCGATACTGCTGTCATACATGAAAGACTTTATTAACTCACAGCTGCCTTTGCAACCAAGACACAGGATTTAGACTGGGTGAATTTACGGCTTAGCAGTAAAATATCAACCCGATTTATAACCGTGAGTTCTTCATTAAGGGCAGTAGGAACAAAAAGCCTAACTGGTTTTAACATGGAGTTTGATAAGTTTATGAAGGGGATTATGTGATGCCACTACCGGATACAGCAGTGGGCTGGGGGAGGCGTGAAACAGAAACCGCGAGGTTCAGGCTGAATACAGATTGCTTTATTTCTCCCTTAAATGAGAGGGCAGCCCACAGACAAGCTGCTGGAATAGTAGATGATCACACACACCATCGCTGACAAGGCTTGAGAGCCACAGGATGCATCCTTGGGCTACAGCAGGAGCTGCTCCCATACCATCAAGGTGTTCACTGGCACAGTAAAAGGGAACAAAGAAAATAATCATCTTTTTTTCCACATCGCTGTTTAATTCTCTTGTACCTTTTCTGTCTGTTTGCAGTTATGGCCTCTAATGGGCATTCACTGCAGAGGAGTTTCACCTGCTGCTCAAGCAGTGCCATCTCTAAACAACAGTTTAGGGAGACTCACTCAGAAATTCTGCCCTGGCTTCTGACTTGCTGGCTGGTGCTGTTAAGGAGCTCTGGCTTCCAGAAGTGGGACAGGGAAGTGGCACTTCTGCCTAGTGAGTGGTCTGGGACACGCCTGCAGGGTATACTGGAAAAGCTGCTCAGTGCTGCCACACAGTTATGGATCAATATGCACAGCAGAATGGGAGCTAGATGCAAGTCTGCTTCATGAATCACCAACTGTGCCACCAGCCAGGTTGGTATCCAGAGTATTGCCTTAACTATCAGCGATAAAATCAGTGGACAGCCTGTTCAGGAGGTACTTGGCGTTCTCAATGATGTCAGCTACAAAAGTGATGTTCTGTTTTATCACTGAAAAAATGAACCCGTATCCTCCCATGATGCTTTAAATAGTGTTTGTAGAGAATAAAACTTGAGACAATCTCAATCTCCAGCCTGTGGCTTCAAGCTCTCGTTCTCCTGCTGTGCACGTGTGCTGCTAAATTGACTCTTACCTGAATGAAGTTCTTTCACCAGAGATGACATGGTGTTGGTGATGGAATCGGCTGCTACCAGCAGGTCGTTGCGGAGGTTCCTCCTCGTACCTGGGAGCAGACAAACAGCAGGAATTACATGTGCCCCTCTGACACTGCCCAACCTCCTCATGACACAGTGCTTGGCCATGTATCCCTCACTGGTCCTCACCAGGGTCCCCCCTGCAGGACAGAGCTTGGTGTGCTGGTGTATGGCAGCACCCTGTCAAAGTAGCTCCTCTTAGTGAAGGATGGGGACCTGCTCTGGAAGCAGTTCTGCTTGTCTGCCTGATCATCTCTTTGGCTAATTAGCTATCACACCACTCTTCTCAACAAGGACAGTGCTCATATGACAGCTCAAGGGCAGATGCTTCTCTCCCCATGACAGGAGTTGCTGGGTGCTGGCCGTGACACAGCTCATCCATGCTCCTCATTTGTGCAGTTGTTATCACTGCTGGCTTCTCTGTTGCAATCAATATCACTGAGGTTTGAGCAGAATAAAAGATAACTGAATTCTTGCTCTCCTCTTGCACTGCTGGAGGAAGCAATCTCCTTCTTCGCTGTGCCACACAGCCAGGGGATAGGCACTTAGCTGTCCCTCATGGTGACACTGACCTGCCAGTTTCCTGTCTGAAAACTTGTCTTGTGCGAGGCTCTGCTTGAGGGATCCCATTAGCACCCTGAACATCTGCCACAGCTCTGCTAGAACGACAGGGACCAGCAAAGGGTCACAATCTGCAAAGGAACCGTCACACTGGCTTCTGCCTGTAAAGGAGATGAGCAAGCTGCCACGTGTTGGGGATGATGCTTATTGCCTCTTGCTTGATGCTGGGAAGATAATGATCTTCTCAGCCATCTATTCTGGTTCCCTGTGCTGGTCCCTCTGGCAAAAACATCCATATTCTTGCAGCAGAGCATCTTGCCGGTCATGGCCCAGTTTTGTAGAGCCCCAACGCCTGCAGCCACTGCAGACGTCACTCCTCGTCCTCGCTGAGCCTCCTTTCCTCCGGCACCTTTTTTGCTCTGCGCTGTTTCAGTTTTATTTGGAGGCTTTGATGGTGTGGGGTCATGTTTTCTGCCCCGGCAGGTGGTCTGTAGCCGCAGTTTCTCAGGTTGCGGAGCCTTTGCCGGGAGCAGGTTCCTGTAATGGGGTGTTGGCCCCATCTCAGCCTTTCCCATGCTTTTAACTGCTCACTGAAAATGGCTTCAAGCAGGCTGTTATCCCACCAGATGTCCGCCCTGGTGCAGCCTCCAGGAGCGCCACTTTGATGCTGAGTGCCTGACCATGCTCTAAGATCTCGGAGCTTGAGATCCCGTCCTGTCATTTGCTCCAGTGAGGGCATGAAGACAACACGTGTGGGATTGCCAGAGACATGTGATGTGACATTCTGCAGCTGTACTCCACTGCAGTAATGACAACTGTACATTACACACTTATTTTTGTTTGAAGTCGGACGTCTCTCATTCCAGACATGCCACTTTAATCTTCCAAATGGGGCGCTGGCTTTTACTCCATCCTTGGCTGGGGGGTGTCAAAGTGCCTACTCCTACATTTTGCCTGTGGAGTTTAGTGCTGTTTGAGCGCTGCCAGAGCATGCTACTGAGATTACGTGCTTTCTATCAACAGCTTTCCCTCCAGGTTAGGCTGCCAACTGACCGGCATCATGCCCAACCCAGCAGCAAGGCACCGGGTCTTCTTGTGCATGTGCAAACAGCATGCAATTCCTGGGAAAAAATGCAGATTTTGGCCAACAAGTCTGGGGCCTGTGATACAGGGGACTCCTCTGCATCTCTTGTACAATGGAGGCCTCGTTATCCAGGTCTCCAGATGTTCCGAGTTCTGTCACTGTATGGGACAGGGAAACAGGGAAGCACGGCCACCATCCTCCCCGATGTTACTTTTGGGAGTGAAAGGCTGTAAAACTCCAGCCTGTCTCCCCTGTGAAAGAGATGAATAATGTTAACGAGCTCATTTGGACATCTATGTGCAGAAGCCACCCAAAGGCCTCCTGGCTGGTGGCATTCAATTATTTCTTATATACAAACACAGAAATTTTATCCTGTTTCCTGTGTTCTCCACTTGCCTTGAATTTGCCTGATTTTGCATGATTAATATGAAATAGCACTAATTGTACAGATTGCCTTTCCGGAAGGATCATTCCAGGAAACTTATTAAGGAGTCTGCTGACCATTTTTTTTCTTGCAAGAGTTGTTCTAGTAGTTGGATAAGCCACCACTGCAGTTATCACATGAGGAACTTACACCTTTCTGCTGGTGGTGGATCTTATTGGCCTCTGTGAAATCCTGAGGGATGTTTTCTTCTTCAAGATGATAAAGGCAGCATTAGTTTTCTAATTAGATGATGGCCTCTGTATCAGTGTATTTCAACTGGAATGCCATCAAGGCATTCTCATACTGTATTACTGCGTTCTTCCTCTGGCCAAGTGGGAGATTGAGAGATCACCTATGGAGGAAACTTATCTAATCTTAAGACTATAACATAAAATCATAGGATCACAGAGTAGTTTGGGTTGGAAATGACCTTAAAGATCATCTAGTTCCAACCCCCTGCCACAGGCAGGTAAACCTTCCACCAGGTTGCTCCAAGCCCCATCCAGCCTGGCACTGAAGCCTTCCAGGGATGAAGCATGATCAAGATCACTGGGATTCAACTCTTTAAAGGTTACCTTCTCTAAACCTTCCTGCATTGATAGTGCCCTGCCCATTCCTAGGTCACAGCAGCAAGAGGTGGAACAGCACTGGAATCTTTCCTCCCTTTTCCTCCTCACTCCATAGTGGCATTTTATAGAATTTAAATGTTTTTGTTAACCCCCCTCAGTATGTGTACTGCTGGCATTGCCTATAGGTGTTTTGCTTCCGGGGAGTCATCACCACCACCGATATCAAGCTGTTGTGACGCGGCTGCCGCACAAGTCCTTAACCCAACCCAGAACAGTTTTTTACACCACCTGGTTCATTGCAACATACATTTGCAATGCTGTCAGGTGTTAAAAACCTAGAAAAATACAAGTTTTCACTCTGGGCAATATTAACAGGTCCTGACAAAGACTATCCCATTATAAACCAGTCATTCAGATGAAAGGCATGAATGAGCCCTTGATTAATTACATCAGTTTCTACTGAAGCCAGGAGTTTGAGGAAGACAGCTCTGGTGATTGTAAACTGTGTAGAAGGAAGTTTGCTTTGTCATGGCTTTTGCCAGGTTCTCCAAAGAAAAAAACAGATGGATTGAGAGCAAATTTGGATGCCAAAGCAATACTGTAAAGTGAAAAATGATCAAGTAGGATAGTGACTGTACTACTATAATCATGTGTTCATTACTCCTAGCAGCAGAAAGAAGATCAATTCATCTCTTTGTGCTTTCCTAATTAAAAAAAGAAAAGGGGAAAATGGTGAGGCAGATAGACCAGATTTTCCCAGTAACTGGTAGGACTCATTGCGCTGCTGTTCCACTTCACTCAGCCTGGAAAAAGAAAGCCAATCTGCAAAGGAGGGAAGGAGAGGCAGCTGCCAAAGAAATCAGTTGAGAGCTCTCGGCTGTAACCATCAAACTTGTTGTAGAGATGAAGAGGAGGCGACTGGACCACCCACAGCAACAGATGGAGTGTTGTGCCTCTGGTATTTGGCATCTTGCCTCCCTGGAAATGCCTGCTTCTGCTGTCGGTTCTGGAAGTGTTTAGAGAGATGAGGAGCTTGTTCCTACCAATGGGATCACAAAAGACGTATCTTCTCACAGTTGAGTTGTAGATGCTCAGTGTTTTCTGACTGGATGTTCTCCATCACCTGGCTCTGCAGAACAAATATCAGCTTTTCCCCATACCGAGTATGCTTGCAGTCCTCACTGGCATCACATGCCAATTGTAAGTATTCACTGATACTTCCTGCTCCTCTGCTACCATTTTGTAGTCTCTTTCCTCACCTTCTTCTGGAAGCAGCTCATTTAGGCAAGGAAGAAGATTGTTCTAGAAGGATATATCTAATGAGCAGCTGATAAATGCAAATTTTTATTTAAAATATGTTTGGTTTTGAAATATATCATCAGTTCTGGTAAGTTTATTTTCATGTTTGCTTGTTTTGAAAGGAGACTGTCCATCTGACAAAGGTGTTTGACACTAATATTCGTGATCCTCCCTACCCAGAATGAGAAAACACCACCTCTAGTTTTGAGACTCCATATGATAAAACTTGCCATCTTTTAAAGAACTAAACAACCTGACCTCGGCAACAAGGCAAGGGCTCTTATTGACTGCAAAGGACACAAGAGAGGCTGCAGTGCCCTGGCACTACAGGCTCTAGGATGTCCAATATCCAGTGGCATTTCCCATGGGGTACCAAGAGGTCCATATGAAGGGTTGCTGCTTGCTGGTTGTCTCTGCCCACAAACAGCTGAAGTCCTAGCCAGAGCATTAGTGAAAGGTGTATTTTCTGTCCTTCGTCCTTTTATTGTCAATTAGAAGAATATAATATATGAGGGGATGTCCATCTCCAGAAATGTGGATCATGTTCAGAAACAATCTCCACATCTGTCAGAGGAGAGACCAAGTCCTGCTGCTGCTCTTCTCACAGCTGTACATCCTGGGATGCTTCTGGAATAGTAAAGATGAAGAACTTTGGACCAATGTGGGTAAAAGCAAGAAAAGAGCACAGAAAACTCACAAGTCACCACTCCTGAGAAATACTGAAAACTGGCATCTGTTCCTACTGGGATTTGCTTCCATCACCACAAGCAGGGTTGAAGTAGCTAGGACTGAAGAATCACTGATTTCCCCCTCTGCAGTGAGAAGGTCCCTGAAGATAAAAAACTACTTGCCAAGTTTCTTGACACCAGACTGACAGTCGTGTCTTTGCTTGCTGCCTTCCCACATCACCAGACAGCCAAGTCTCTCCAGTATTTGAGGAAGCGGCAGTGGTCTGCATTGAGCTGAACAAGTTTCCATTTCATCTGCTTGTCTTCAAATCCTGGAGCCTTTCTTGAGCTCACAATGGCTTTGACATGGAAAAGTTGGACTTCTTTGAAATGTAAACGCGTGATTGTAAAACTTTTCTTTTTTAAAAGCAACAGCAGCTAAGTATAAACTCACACTACCTACAGAAGTTGGGGGATAAAAATATGCATGTCAACTGCTGCCCAGTTTTCTTCAAAGCACAATAAGCTGTATTATTCACAAATGGACAGCTTACCCATTTGGTCCAACCATACTGATTTCACTGAAGAAACAGGGGACAACGTGGACAGAGAGGAATGCAGCTGAAGCTGTCTGATAATAAGTAGATTTCTTATGTCTACTTTTGGGGCAGTTGGCAGCAGTGAGTTTAGGCCAGAAAGTGGTATTTTTCCCAAATGCAGAGGGGAGTAACATGTAGAAAAGTGCAAAAGAAGGAACTCCAATGGTTGGAGCAAGAAAATGTTGTTGTCCTGTGTGTCCTTCTGCTTCTTCATCATGGTCTTCCCATCTTCTCCTCTTGTTCTTTCCCTTGCCTTGCCTTGTTTTCCCTTCCCTGTTCTTCTGACCCCTCCTGTTCCCTCCCCTCCTCTCCTCTTTCCTCCATTTCTCAGGTTTAGCACTTTACATTTTGTTTCTTCTCCCCACAGGGCTGCTGCATGTCTGTGTCTCTAGCAGAGCACATGAGCCATTCTGCAGATGTGCATGCCAGCCAACTGCTCCATTAGGAACAGCCTTCACCACATTGTGCTGCAAACATTTATCTCCCTTTCTGCGCCATAACCAGCAGAGAGGTGGGCAGCTGTTAGCTAAATACTCTGAATAAGAGAGCTGTTTGTTTTCCTACTTTTGATCATTAAAGTGCTTTTTCTATCTTGCAAATCATAGCACAGTTCAACCACCACGTTTGAAAATATGACCAGTTTTTAATGTCTAACTGTTTGTTAGATTACCTGTGGGAGTAACTTGCTGGGGTGGAAGATCCCTTCCCCTGAGGGAAGATCATCATCACAGAAATAATTTCATTAAGTTGCAAAGATTAAAAATGTGCCCCCAATTTCTTTGATCTAGAGTGCAGGAAAGGGGTTCATAATTATTGTCTCAGTATCAGCGAGTTAGGCTTCTGTTACATGTAGAATCATCATAGAATAGTTTGTTTTGGAAGGGACCTTAAAGATCATCCACTTCCAACCCCCTGCCATGGGCAGGGACACCTTCCACTAGACCAGGTTGCTCCAAGCCCCGTCCAACCTGGCCTTGAACACTCCCAGGGATGGGGCAGCCTGTGCCAGGGCCTCAGCGCCCTCACAGGGAACAACTTCCCTGTATCAGTCTGAATGTCCCCTCTTTTACATGATGATGCAGTATTAACACCAGGTGTGGTCCCGTTCTGTGCGATATTCACCTTGTGTGAAAGCTTCCTGCACATCTCCCCCGACTCCAGTGAGTGAGTCCTGTGGGACGTGAGTTGGGGTAGAGCCGGCGGAGGTGGATCTGACGGGCATGGGCATGGGGCGGCTGGCTCCATGGGTGGGTGAGGACTGTGCCGAGCCTGCTGCTTGCGCCTGCACAGGAGACACGAGACACAGTTTCCAAATCTTTAACTTTTTTTTTCTTTTTTTTTTGGTGAATATCTAAAAATAATTCTGAAAAAAAAAAAAGTAAAAGAAATGCATAAGGAAAGACGCTTCACCAAAACATGCTCAGCTTGAGCAACGTGATGCATGAACAGTAGCTGTTGTGGGAGGACCCCATGATGGTGGCATGCTGGGCACAGTGCATCACGCATTGGGCTGCACATGGCACTCACAGCTCTGCTGCTCTGGTGCAGGATTTCACCCAGTCTTCCTCGCCATATGATTACTGTGTGTCAACCATCAAGTTGGAAAAAATCCTGGGATGGCACCGGGTGACCTTCGCATCCGTGTGCTCCAGAGGGACCCATCACCACTTGGCATCTCCTCGTCCATCACACAGGCAGCAGAGAGGAAACCCTCAGAGCTCCACGGTGCCACCGCGGCTCTGCAGAAGGTCCATTCCCTTTGTTACTTTATTTTTATATATTTTATAGATTCTTATTTATTACTAAAATAGTGATTTTTAAATTTTTTATTCTACATTTTCTTCCAACCAAACCTACCTGTCTCTGCAGTGCTGCTCCAAGAGCCTTGTGAGCAGCTTGTGCTGTTGCCTTCCTTCACAAGGCTTCTTGTGCTCCCCTACAGCTCTCCATGGAGGGCAAGTGACAGCCCCAAGGGTCTCTCAGGTACTGCCTACTTACTCAAAGTTGGTGCACTCCATAGCAAATTGCAACTAAATTAAGAATGTTTTCTTCCTGCAGTTTGAATGCTCGGAGAAAACTGGTGTAATCATTCCGGTACAACTCCCCCTGGCTTCAAAGATGATGCCCCAATGAAGCTTCCAGAGCAGAACCTGAGGTTTGGCATGGGAAGGATGAGCGGGGAAAGGAGAGGAACTGAGGGATGTATGAGGAGATAAATATAGAAGCCTACTGACATGCACTTACTGGCTCCGTGTTTTCAAAGAAACAATTTCAGTTAAGTACTTGGCATGGGGTGTCAGCAGGAGAGCGAGCAAGGAGGCACTCACCACTGAGGCACCTCGCTGGGTGTTTAAGGACCTTTGCAGAGAGCTTGGTGCCTCATCTGCCTCCTCTGGCTGTTCATGCACAGCCAGGATGGACCCCTTGCGCTGGGAACCTCCCCAGTACTCACCTCACTGCCCAGGAGCAAAGCATCACCCGTCCCCAAGCATTGGCCGTTATTTACAAGTGCTTTGAATGCACACAGTACTACTTTAGTGTTGATAATCTGGTTGTTCTCTGCAGCCACTCGTGTCTGTCAACAATCTCTGAGCCCTCTTGCTCAACTGCAAGGCTATTAGTGATCAGTTTTGTCTGGCTTTGCCAGCAAGGGTTTATGATCTGTGACTGTGTTTATGTTTAAGCACAGTCCCTATGCTGCCGTTGATTAAAGGGGAGCTACTCATAAATAATTACACGCTAAGGGCATTAAAACCGTACAACCCCTCTGAGCAAATACCTGGTTTGTTTGTGCTGTGTGGTTTTCGTCTTTTCTTAAGCCTGTTCATCGTTTGCTCCCTTTGACGTGCATCAGTTACCGGGGCAACCCAGCTGGCACAGCGGCGATGCACAACGGTGACACTGCCAGCACCCCGTGTGAGGGTGACTAGGCCAGCAAACAGCACCTCTGCAATGGTGACACCTCCAGCACCCTGTGTAACTGTGAGGGGGCCAGCACCCACTGTAATGCTGATACAGCCACCACCCTGCTCAATGGTGGCACCAACAACACTCAATGGAAGGGTGACGCTGCCAGTACCCTGCACAATGGTTACACTGCCAACATCCTGCCCAATGATGACAAGACCAGCACCCTGTGCAACAGTGGCACTGCCAGCACCTGATGCGATGGTGACATCACCAGCACCCTGTGTAATGGTGACACCGCCAGCACCTTGTGTAATGGTGACACTGCCAGCACCCAATGCACGATGACATCACCCGCACCCTGTCCAATGGTGACACTGCCAGCATCCTGCACAGTTGATCCTTGTGCTGCTGCTGCAAGGCAAAGAATCCATCACCAGCACATTTTTCCCATCCTCACATTGAGTGTTGCTCTGCTGCAAGGCCCTGCTTCCCATGAGAGCACCAAGGAACAGGATGCTGTTTGGGACCACGTGGGGATGGCTGCAGCTTCACTAATCCCTGCCAGCCCAGAGTTGATATTCTTATTAATATGAAAACCTAGTCATGTGTAAAATTGTCATTTTGAAACTGCATTAATAATAGGGGGATTAAAAGAAGTGAGTAAAATGTGACAGGGGTGTCTGTAAGGGGGAGGGCTGCAGGAGAGAAACAGTGTATTTTGAAGGTGCAACCATTAGAAAATGTACATAACACACCAGCAACTTCACTTCCCTGAAACATCAAATAAAACTTCAAGAAGTTACCTGAAAGTGCACAGAAATAGGCAGCAGTGTCTCAATTTGTAGCAAAAGCCTGACCATCGCTTTGTGCTCCCCACCCAGCACCTGAGACAGCATGGCAGAAGTGTTCCCATGGCTTTGGCTTGGAGGAACTGGCTCATTCCTTCTCCTCCTCCCAGACCGAACTGAACCTCAGACTTGGCAGCTGTTCAGACAAGCAAAACCAGCCCATGCGTACCTTAAAAACCAGGAGAAACCCATCGCTAACAAACACCCACACTGGAGGCAGAGGATGGGGAGCAAGAGCTCCCCTTTCCCCAGGAGGCAGCCAGAGGAGGGTGTGGGAATATTCTGTGTTTTGAAGCTTGTTCCCCAGGTTGCACCTTGTACTGTGGGACCTCGGCACATGGTCCTGTTAATCACCAGAGACCTTCTGACGGTGGTGGCAGGTGTGAGAGGGATGACAAATGATAAACCATCTAGAGATTCTGCTATTTGTTAAAGTGTTCAGTTAATTGAGTAAGACCTCACCGCTCACTTCTCTCCTCAAAACACCTGAGCTGTGAGGGGACACATTTCACCTTGTACAACAAACCTGGTCCATCCCACCCACCTCCACATCTGGCCCATGGTGTTTTTCACAGATGTGCACACTCCTTGGCCTAAGGGAAGACCCTGCACCCCACAACTGCCCACATGGATGGGCTGGTGGTAAGAGCCAGGAGAGAAGCACTCAAACATGGAGGCTTCAGCTCTTAGGGAGGAAATCTTTTTTTCACCATCATTCAGCACGGAGACACGATGTCTACATTTACATTCTTAGAGTAAGTGCCCAAGCACCTGAAATGGATGTATTCTTTAATGTTTTTAAGCACGGGGCACACAGATGGGCCGTGCTGATTTGCATGCTGCAGCCACTGAAGCAGAAGGGCTGGGAACATCCCTCACCCACTCAATGGTGTAGTTCCTGGAAGCTGAGGTGATATTGAGAGCAGCTCGTGAGGTTACACACAGACAAGCCATCTCAATGGGGAGCAGTGCTGAGATGGATAGAGTTGGATGGAGAGTTCTGTCTCCCTGCTGCCCCGTCCTCAGGTACACTCACACCACGCAATGCACACCACAGCACTTAGCAGCTGAAGGAGGATCTGAAAGTTTTTGGTTCAGTGAAGACTTGAAAACCATCTTCACAAGAAACATGCTTTGTCCCAGACTGCTGGTTGATAACATGGCTGCAGCCCAGGACTGCAGGGCTGCAGGTTCCAGGCTGCGGGTGATGCACTGGGACTCTGCTGCACCCAGAGCATCACTCACTTCTGACCTAGAAGAGGAGTGAGAAAGCATCTGCTGGCCAACAACACTCACCAAGGCACAAGAGCTAAACCTTCTCCCTTAGTGCAGCGCCTTCTAAAGAACAGGCAGAAATGCTGTGGTCTGAGCTGCACCTGCATGTGTACCATGTGTGTCAGCTTGCAGGGCCTGTGACAAAGCCCTCCAGGTTTATATCTCTAGGAGTAAAGAAACAATCCAATCTCTGCATGGGCAGTTCTTCACTATGAGGGTGCTGAGGCCCTGGCACAGGTTGTCCAGAGAAGCTGTGGCTGCCCCATCCCTGGCAGTATTCAAGGCTAGGCTGGACAGGGCTTGGAGCAACCTGGTCTAGTGGAAGGTGTTCCTGCCCATGGCAGGAGGTTGGAACTGGATGAACTTTAAGGTCCCTTCCTACCCAAATCACTCTGTGATTCTATGATTCTATGTTTTCTTGGTATATCTTAGTCCACAGTACCCACCAGATGGCCACATTTTTCATGAGCGGAAATGATACCCAGCCAGGTGTAGGATGGGGTAGGATGGTCTAAGATGGGGTAGGAGACCTGCATGAGTCTCTCTGGGCTGAATGAGGAACTGAGCATCTCAGGATGGTGACTCCTTTCTGCTCATGGCAGAACCTGACCCGGGCTGAGCATCAACGGGGCTTTCCCAGGCCCATGCAGAAATCAGGCATCAAAGGCATGAAGAAAAGTAGAGACCATCACTGCACAACTTAAACCAGAGATGGATCAGGGATGGAATGGGCAGAAGCTTGGTGAAGGAAAGGAAGAAATATTGAGTCCAAAGCAAATATGTAACAATGCATTTATCAAATTACAAGTTAATAAATACCAGTTCAACCTCAGCAGTATCCTCAGGGTGTGTGTAGGGGGTGTTCACTAGTGACATACTTTGGGTAACGCTTTCTGAACATACTCTGCAGGTAACGCTGAAGCAAAAGGTATTACTATATCCAGTGGCTAGATGTGCTCCCAGTGCGAGCATACACATAAACAACTACCTGGAGGAGAGGGAATAGGTGCTTCTCATGGTCTGTGCTGTGTGCAGCTCTCTAGCACCTGGTGAGATCTCTTTTTCTCTAATTCCAGATGAAAAAAAAAGAAAAAGAAAAAAAAAAAAGGCAAAACAAGTCGTTCCCCCCCCATCCAGTCAAATAACATCGATCTATTTTATATATTGATCTCTCTTCTTGTACTTTACATTGTACATGAAGCCTTAACATGCTTGCGTGGTTTCCCTCTGCACCAAATGATGAGTCTCG